CACGTCCGATGGCTCGCATGGCTCGCCTGGCTTTGCGGCCCAGCTTCTGCACCTCCACCTTGGTGCCCTGCAGCTCTTCCTGCGAGACTCGGAGCAGCGAGATGGGGTTTGGAGTCATGCTCATTCCCTTTTTGAAACTCCCCTGATAACATCAGAAGCCATTTCTTATCACGGCATATTTATGGCTCATGCCGAGAAAGACTTGAGCAGAACGGTGTGCCGGGGATCTGCCAAACTCTGAAAAGCCTGTGCCTTCAGCTTGGACAGGTCATCTTTATCCTCTTCTGTGGATTGACCTCAGAGGCTTGTGGAATTCGGATACCGGCCCGCACTTTCCAATCATGTTTGCATTCGGACGGCAAAGCGGCAAACCTTCTTTCTGCCAGAGGCTTAAACATGTGGTGACACAAAGAATGTGTTTGAGGAGACACCTGGCGGCAACATGCGGCAACCGGAACTCTTTCAAAAGCGCTGCATCCATGCATGGCTCATCGTGGGTTGCGAGGACGACGCCAGTGCTGTCGGTGGCGTTGGTGACGTTCGGCTTCCTGCCAGGGGAAACAGTCTCGTGCTGCAATGTCGAGACTTGCTTTGATGACCATCTGTTACCGTCTGTTGGCTTCCTGTTAGCTGCGATTGGGCTAGTGGAAATCCGAGTTGACAAGTCCCAAAGGGGGCACCATGTTGAAATTTGAGGCGCCCGGCTTGGACTCGCTCTTGGCGCGGATCTGCCGTAGCTCCGCCTCCAGCCTGTGCTCGGAACGCCATGCGCCCCGAAACTGCAAAAGCTTCGGCTGGGTGTCGAAGACTTAAGTCACAGCGCTGCAGCATCCAAGCTGCTTTTTCTGGACTCGTTACCCCACAATAAGACCAGATCTCCGTGAGGCTCAAAACACGGGCAGTATCCTCCAGTATTGGATCCCGCCTGGCAGCCAGCCTGCGCTGCTCCTCCAGCTGCTGCCGAAGGTCGTCTCAGAACATCAAATGGTAGGTGGCTATTGGAAATGTCTGCCTTGGTACTCTTGTTGGGGGTCGGTTGACAGGGAAACCAGCAGGAAGCCACCAAGTTTGAGGCACCCTACTTTGAGGTAGTGTGGGAAGTGAGCACTCGAGCTGAGCCCAAAACCCGTTATGTTGGTCCTACCAAGAATCAAGAGATGGCCTTGACACTGACCCCTTACTCAAATGATCAGTAGGGATGATGTAGGGCATTGCTCACTCCACGCAGCATCCAACCAAGGCCGCCCCACTGTCAATTGGTCTATGAGTCTAAAACGCTTGCCGAGGGTTGGTGCCACGCAGTTAAGGCTCAAGCAACTCTACATAGTCTATATGACAATGTAATACGATAAGCAGGAGGGGCTCCAACCTGCTTGCTGTGGCACAATGCAATCCTACACAGGCACCCAAAAATTGGGTTGCAGCACAGTGGCGCAACGGCACCTCACGTTGACAGCTACATAGCCCGGACTGCTCTTGGGTCAAATGCCAGGCCATGGATACAAGTCCCAAGTCTCTGCGTGTGTTTGATCAATCTGCTCCAAACATGTGCATTGGAAAACATGAAGATTCGTTCATCCTCCGCCTTCTCATGACGATGTTCAATCCCGGCGTTTGGCCCCGGCACCAAGTGCGCGGCCGGCACTTTCAGTAGTACCTGTTTGGTGAGGGTGCTTGCTCAATAGGTCTGGGAAGCGGACTGGCGTCTGCCAATGCGGTCTCACTAAGTTGCTCCATGCGCCGATTCTTTTCTGTGGACGAGGGAGTGTTGACCAAAAGGGACCCTGTAAAAATGGAACATCCCGAGTCAGCAATACGAAGCGGCCCTGATGCCCTCAGAATCGCTCAGCCACCGGCCTCGGCTTTGACTCCGCTTCACCGAGGGCGCCACCGCCGGTGTGCCAGGCAGCTGCATGTGCACTGGCGAAATCCGGGAGGCATGTGCGACAAAATTGCTCGGAGTCCAAGACTCCTCGAATGACGCTCAACCGCATCCTGATCCAAGGAATGTTGAACATCACAGGTGCAACGCTGACTGTTGAGCCCGTTGAGTGCTTGGTTTTTGTGCCTTGTCGTTTCCACGATACATGTGCTGCGTTCCTGTCTGTTCAGCTGGGTCGTCATAGGCACGCCATGGCTCGTCTGCCATTGGAGCCCGGTGGTTTGGAGATGAGGTCGGGTGTTTCCTAGGGGTTCGAATCCCCCAACCACCAGCCCAAGCCAACAAAAAGGCAAAAGAAGAAAACCGAACGAGTCAAACCACTCCGGCTGCTCCCCATTGACACGTCCCCATTTCGGGCCGCCTTTGGGTCGTGGCATCTCCAAGGACATGCGGACGTTGCCCTTGCCGCTCTTGTCCGGCAGCGTGCACCTCAGTGGCTTCCCGTCATGTGGAAGAGTCACTTTGTAGAGATGTAGGAAAAAGTGCGTCGAGAAAAAGAGCGGTTTGAGCATCTGCGCAAATTGGCGGATGATGTTTCATGCGACTCTTTGGTGGCAGACTCCCTCACAATCTGAACCAAACATGTCAAAATGCGTTGCCCTCTGCCAAGGACTTGGGTGAAACATTGCGTCATGCCAGCCAAGCGCAGCTTGGGCACTGAATCCCATCCAGGTCCTCAGTGAGCCTTACCTGGCGCAGCTAAGATCGCATGCAAGGCTTGGCCGTTTGGTCGGTAAATTCTGGGCGACCTAGCAGCTCGATGTTGGGCGTTTGTCTGGTTCGCGCTGGCAGCTTGAGGATACTGGCCATACTGACCAAAATGGCCATACTGGCCAACACGGGTTTTTAGACGCTGCTCAATTCGCAAAGCCTGCTATCCAAACTGAAGCATAACGAATCAACCGGCCATTCATCAAACCGCAAAGCTGGCCAACGTGCGTCCTCCTCTTAGAATTGTCCTACCCAAGCTCAGCGCAGAACCCTTTAACTCCGTTTTGTTCATTGTCAACAGAGCTGCCGGCGAAAGGTGCTAAGCAAGATCCAAGATTCCTCCGAATAACCCGGAAGCTCCCATTCGGAATGACCAGGATGCCAAGGCCTCTCTCGCTGTGGAAGCAACTGCTAAGGGTGAAACGCGCCTGGCATCCCAAGCGTGATGTGTCCGAGAGCGTGAAGGTGGAGTCCAATAAGTCTTCCTGCAGCGGGCGCTGGCTTGGACAGGTGAAACATTGAAAAGCCGAGCGCAATTCAGCAAGCAGAATGCAAGTTGAAATGTCGCAAGTTCGTGGCCCAATTTGGCTCGTTCTCCCTGCTATATGCTTGTTGCGACTAATTATCTTAATCGCACGCAGTGTCAAAGGATCCACCAACCAAGCCGCTTCTTGCGATTTCTTACGTCTTGCGTTTTGCAATGGCTGTCACTGACGTCCGAAGGGACCGAATGTTCCCTGAGATTCGGTAGTTCTATCCAGTTCGCAATGGGCGAAAGCCTAACGAAATGGGCCCAGCTCCGCATATCTTTGAAGGGATCGCATGTTTTCGTCCCGCTTGTCCGTGAAATCAGCAGGCAAAGATTAGAGCAGGCAGTTAGGAGGCATGGAAAGCAAAACTTCAAGACAAACCCAAGCGCTCATGTATCTCCAAATTCTGCAATATGTATGGATGTGTCTCGAAATCAGGTGTTAAACCCAAGTGGAGTTGGAAAGAAAAACTGTCGCTAGCCGCAAAAAAACACCTGCCGCGAACGCCGCGAACGCTGCCTCTCGCACGCCCGGGCCCTGCAGGCGCTCGAAGAAGGGCTTCTCCAAGATGACGTGGCAGGTGGCGCACTGCGATCGACCGATGGCTCGGCTCGCTCATCGGCTTTGAAGTTGGCAGAAAGAAGGCATGTCTTTTTCTGAGGGTGCACCCCCACCCGATTTGGGGTGGTGTCAAGTTTGCACTGTTTGGGAACGATCAACTGAATGGCTCGGAATGTTGAGGTATGCAAGCTCACATGGACTCACATGGATTCGTACAGGCACTACGAGCACTTGGCCTAGAAGGGCATGTCTAAACTGATGCGAAGGGGGTGCACCCAGCTTGGATGTCAAGTTTGCATCTTTGGAACCTACCAAACTACACAACTGAATCGGATTAACTGAATCCAACTGAATGGTTCACGGCGTTGAGGTATACAAACATACGGGCGTGTCTTTTCTAGGAGACCCGCAACATGGTGTTTTGTCTTTCGGTGCGCTTTGCTTCAGACCCTAAAGAGACGACCCCATAGATCAGTTCCAGCTGTTGGCCAATGCGCCTGAAGCTTCTGCCCGCAGGCAGCGTGGATGTCCACGCCATGCTCCTGAGTGCCAGTGAAGAACCACCACCCCCCCGCCCCAAACCGCAAGGCCAGAGTTGCACCCAAAGCGCCTGAAAGCGTTTTTTTTTTTTTTTTTTTTTTCCGTTGTATTTTTCTTTTCTGGTGCAAAGGTGCCTCTGCTTCGACCTGAAAAGGATATCAAGGCGTTGCCCGCTCCCCAATCACATCTGAATGTTACTTGTGTCCTTGGCCACATCCACAAGAGTGGAGCCCACCGGAGCCTGGACGGAAGTTCGCCTGGACGGATGGAGACAGGCTGCTTCCCATGGGAATTCCATCAGTAGAACAGGTCCAAATGATTGATGTTGACACTTGGGCTCATGCCTCTTGCATGGTCAGACCCTGAATATTTGGTGCCCCCTGTTCTATGTTGCCGACAGTATTGAATGATCAAAGCAAATAGTTAGAACGCCGTCGGTTAGAACGCCGTCGGCTAGAATGCCGTCGGCGCAACTATGACTATAAGGAACCTTGAACAAAGCCAACCCTAAGCTCCTGCTGAAGCACGCAAGCGAGATACACACCACACGATTGCACCATCCACAATTGACTTCACCCACCCAAACCCATCTGCCCACGCCAGCTTGAGATTATTTGCGGGTCTCCGGTTTCGCCTTTTGCTCAGGAACCCCCGAAAATTGGAGGGGGGTCCTTCTTGCCAGAAACGCGACTGCGCGCCGCTGCTCTTTTCATCACTCACACCACATCTCGGGTCGGGAAGCAAAAGCCCGAGGGCATATCTCCGGCAAGGGGCGCCTGCGGCACATCGAAGGGGGAACCCCTCAACAGTGATTGGTGGCCACCAAAATGCTGTTCACCATGGGTCCCCCCTTGAGCTGAAAAACAACAAAAAACATAGTAAAACTCTTAGCCCAAGTTGTTTTCATTGCAAATCCAAGCGGCGGTCTTCATAAGCATGAGGTCCCCCAAGAGCATGCCCCTTTAAGTGTATGAGGTCTCATGTGTATACAAATTTCCTGCTAACAAATTCACTCGGCAAAAATTGCTGGGATCTGCTCCAAGCAGTTTGGGGGCATCTGCGGGCTGCGCGCGACTTGCGCGGGACTTGCGCGAAACTTGTTTATCTTTGGGCCGTGGTGAGGATGATGATGATGATGATGATGATGATGATGATGATGATGATGGAATATGGAAACTCAGCCGGTCACAAACTGCTCACAGAGATAGCTCTGACTCCTGAGTTTCTCCTGCCTGCATTCTTGGCCTCGGGCCTGGATTGTGGGAGACACAGATATCAGCTGGGTGTGGTTATTTCTGACAGTGGTATTGATTGCCATTCTGGTCACTATCGAGCTGCTGTATCAGCGGATAAAGGGTGGCGTATTCTTGATGATGGCCGTCTCTCGGAACATGTTCACCTTTTGCCGGCAGAGATCGCCTCTAACCTGGTACTTCTTCGGCGTCTTCGGGCCAACCCGAACCATGCCTGTGCTCAGGACTTTGAAGCACGAGCTCTATCGCGCCGTTTTGCAGATGCTCCCAGAGCCTTGGATCAAGTGGTTGATGGTGACTTGGGTAGCCTCCTGGCCAGAACCTTCAATTGAGTTTTGGAAACCTATGGCTGTGCCGGACGAGCCTTGGGTGCTGCCTGGGCTGCGGATTGCAGGCTGCGCTGATGTCCACGGCTGCTGTGTGAGAGTACTGTGAATTGACCTCCGTAGTGACATTTGTTGAGCTGAATGAACATTTCAGCGAGGCTGGTGTGGCTTGAAGGCCTCACGAGGCATAGTGGCCTACAAAGAGACATCTCCGCCTAAGGGCGTGGCCAGCGCTATCAAGATCGGAGCTTGAGCGTATCGAAGAAGAAGAAGAAGAAGAAGAAGATGATGATGATGATGATGAATCACTGCGTCACTTGCGCTTCACTTGCGCTTTACTTGCGCAGCCCTATGTTTTGACTTGCGGCCGCTCCTGCAACACACTCCTGCCCTTTCAAATTACAAGCGGCGGTGCAGCTGATTTGATACGTCCAAAACAACTGGGACCATGCCTTACATTGACACAAACAACGGTCTAGTTCACAGAATTGAAACTAAGAGGAACTGCCTGCTTTCTGCCTTAATGATGGTTGTGCTGAAAACTGATATTCGGGAGTCAGTATTTATCAGGCCAATCGGCATTGAACACTTGTTTATGAACTCGGCAAACCTTAAAACGTTAAGTGCACTGGAAGAAATTCGCTGAAACTGTTGGGAAATGTAGAATTGCAACGCCTTCGAGTGTGATAAAATGAGCACTGGCAAAAGTATTGCTTTCACGGACCCAAGCCTGAATCAGTCTTTGCCACATCGTTGCGGTGCTGTTGAAGTATCACTTGTGAGGTGGTTCCAACTCTTGAAAGTCATAGCCAAATGTGATCCGCCATGGATCTACCCCAAAAACGGGTCAAGTCCTTCTGGTCATTTGGGGCAGTTGGACGACTCTTCTGCACGGACCTCTGCCACCGGCACCAGCCAGGCGCTGCTGAAGGGGCCACAGACTTGCTGCAGGTTGCCTCGGAGTGGTTCAGCTCGGAGAATGCCCCGAGCAATGCGTTGTTTTTTGCCGCATCTGGCTCCAATTCTCTTCTTGGAGGGTACCCATAGGGTGGTGTTCGAAGGGAATCAAAGGCGAGTTGTGACACCTGTCTGGTTGGCTCCAATTGTTCCCTTGAAAAGGGGGCCCAGAATGCAGGTTGTCCTGTTGGTTTCCCCTGAGACCAAAAGGGGTTTCCCTAGAACAAGACGCACCCTTTGCAACTAGGGTTGCTTCAATCTTAAAGGGAGACCAAAGGCAAACCACGGCAAACCCACAGTGGCAGTCGACTTCCGAGTTTGGGCTGAGGCGCGGAAGGCACCCAGGTCGTAGGGATTGGGACCTGGGGCATGGCTCTTCTCATTGCTTGCCAACGTGGGTAAGTCTTTTGTGGCCTCCAAGGAAAACCACGAGAAAACCAGGCTCTTTCTGGGGGCTGCTGATTTTGTGACAAAACCACATTGAAATGTCATGACATCCGACCGACACCCTGCGAAGAGAACCCTTTGAAGAAAAGCTTCCGCAGGATTCTATGTTGAGGAGCGGAGCCCCTCGATGGCAATTCCTGCTGACCGGGTCATGACCATCCAGTTGGGTAGATAAAGCAATCCGCCGACCCCTTCTCCTCAAAGGGGGAGGCGCACGGGAAGGGTGGTTGCAGTACAAGCGCATGGATTAATCTTTGAGGCAAGCATATGACTACTGGCATCATACGGATGCCCATCATCATCATCATCATCATCATCATCATCATCATCATCATCATCATCATCATCATCATCATCATCGATATGATCCTTCATCATTCTTATCGTCAACATCATCATCATCATTTCTATATCCTTCAACATCATCATCCTCGTCATCATCCTTATTTTTTGATATACGTTTCAATTGTGGCGTTAGAGAGGGTTTGACATGCAAAAGCTGCGTGGACATGATGATCATGATGACTGCCCCCCCCGGCCCCTGAAGATTGGGGCTTAACGCCCCGCTCTGGCCCATTGTAGCTGCCACACAGGGGACTCATTTAGGCTTGGGCGCAGGGGGCGCTATCTCAAAAATTGAGCCCCTTACTTTTCGGCACAAGGAGTGCTAGGGATACTGGGCCCGTGGGGTAAGTCTCGGGCCGCCCTGGTGATGCCGAGGATGCTACGTTAGACACCATTGGCAAAGCAGAGGATGCTACAACGATAGTTATGATCACAGTCCTCATCCTTATCGTCACTAGCATCAGGTCATCATCATCTCTTACTAGCCGGCGCTGGTGATGCCGAGGATGCTACGATGATAGTTATCATCACAGTCCTCATCCTTGTCATCATTATCATCATGGTCATCATCATCTCTTATTAGCTGGCACTGGTGATGCCGAGGATCATCGTCTCTTGGTAGCCGGCACTGGTGATGCCGAGGATGCTACGATGATAGTTATCATCACAGTCCTCAGTATCATCACGGTCATCACCATCTCTTATTAGGCAGCACTGGTGATGCAAAGGGTGTTACTGGGGAGGCCCAGCCAAATGGGCCTAGTTTCGGGCAAGGTTTTGGGGCCCATTTTTGGGCCCGCGCTTGAGATTTAGGCGCAAAGCAAGCGTGTAGAGTTTTTTCAAACAGCCATGCTGCAGGCGCTGCTCTGCGATGAGCTGGAAAAGGCCAGGCAGCAAAAAGAGCAAGCGAAGAAGGACGTGCGGGCGGCTACTCGAGCTGAAAAGAACGCCATGAAGCGGCGCAACCGCCTTCTCAAGGCTACGCTGCAAGGCCATTGCGCTGCTTTGCCTCTTTCGCGTTGGCAGGCAGCGAAGGGGCTGTCGGGAGAGGACTTGAAGCTCATTCTGGCGGCTAAGAGTGTGTGCTGATGCAAGCTGTCGCCGCAGGAGGCGCCAAAAGCGGAGTGAGGGCCAAGGATACTTAGGCTGCGGGGTTGCCGGGGCAGCAAGACTCTTCAAATGACAGTTTTGGCATGCGAAGGCAGCCGTGGAGAAGGAGCCAAAGCTGGGCAGCTACAGGCAATTTTTGTTTTCTTTTAGCTTGCGTGCCAGTGCCAGCAGGTCCGCCATTGGCTCAGAACCACTTGCCCATGGGGCGCTGCGCTCACAGACCGTGCAGCGGTGCCAGAAAAACGCAGTGTGGGTTTTGCCGGTGCGGCGCAACTGAAAGGGGTGCTGGGCGTTGCTTGTTTGTTCTGGCGCAGGACATTGCCCTTGGCAAGGGGCGACGCGGCGGCCTCCGTGATTTCGTGCGACGTCCTACGCAACAACCTTCGCAAGGCCCGCGCGACGTGGTCTTTCCCACCTTACAGTGTTTGTCAGACAAAACTTGGCGTTCTGCGTGTTTGCGCAGAGCTGGCTGGAGTTGTAACCTTGAGGCTGGTTTGTTTTTCTCAATTTTAGCAGGGTGCGCGTGGCGACAGGCAGAGAGTGTTGACATTGCAGTGTGTGCGTTCTTGTGTGGTGTTGCGCAAGTTGGCTGCGCGGTAGGTGTGACATCCTGATGGTGCTGGGCTTCATGGTGCTGGACTTCCTGGCGCAAGCCTCGTCGCCTCAGCCACAGTCACAGCGGTTGTGCCAAGCCCCAATGGCCTATGTTTTGCGGGTGTTTTTCTTGTCATGTTTGCGGGCTGGTCAAAAGGGGAACCAGCGGGGTTTGTGGGGACACGTGCTTTGACCGTGCTTGCCTGTCCTTCGAGCGAACTTGTTTTTTTCCTGAGCCTGATGAGTTTTTGCAACAAGAGTAAAGGTATTTTCCTTGTGCGCTTTTTTAAAGTGTTCTTACGGTAACTTTAAGGCAGGGTTAGGTTGAGGTTCGCCGTGTGGCCAGCGCTGTTTTGCGTCAGCCGGCTCGCTCAGAAGTTCTCTTTAAAATGCTTGAATATCCTTGGGAATTCCCTTGTCTCTTCATGTAGAAACTTCTTTGAGACCAGATGTCTGCCTGTGTACATTTGGCTCAAACATTGTGCTTTGCTCAATATATCTTGATGTGACAGCGCCTCATACTTGATACTGTGGACCTCTCAAGTAAAATCGCTTCTGCGAGGACGCGGGCTTGGGCCAATGATGCAGGCTGGGCTGAGGAGTCTGGTGGCTGCAGCCTAAAGTGATTGCCAGGAACCTGAGCGAGTGAGCTGGGCTGGGCACGAACTTTGGCTGTGTCACGGTTTGCCCTGGCGGCCTCTGGATGTTGCATGGCGCTGCCCGCGCGACGTGCCATGTTGCGTGGCGCTGCCCACGCAACATCCCACGCAACACCCACGCAACATCCCACGCAACGTGACTTTTTCCATAGTTCTGGCGACAAATGGCCTTGAAAGGGCTTTTTTTAGAAACCTAAGTCTTTTTGACAAGCGAACGCACGAAAACCTGCGTTTCTGCACGTTGCGTGGGGTGTTGCGTGGGATGTTGCGTGGATGTTGCGTGGGATGTTGCGTGGGCAGTGCCACGCAACATGGGATGTTGCGTGGGCAGCGCCAGCGCAGCTCAGCGTGCCACGTTGCACGCAGTTGCGAAGGGCCGCAAAAGTGCAAGGCTCCATGGATGTGTTCTCAACTAAGGTCGCGTGGCTGTTTGCAGGGGCTGGAGCGGCGCGAGTGAGACAAGTTTGCCTGGCCGCACGATTGAGACATTCCTGTGAGTTGCGCAGTGTGGCTCGAGTCGGCTCAAGGCTTAGGGTGCCAAAGCCGGCATGGCGGACGAAGATCCACCGGTTGCAGTGGCTGAGCCGCCGCTGCCAACTAGAAGGCCATGGCCTGACGGCTTGCCTACGGAGACTGAGCTGCGGGACTGTGCAGCGCTGCTCGTTGCAAAAGTGGATCTGCACTGTTGCACCCTTGGCGAGTTGCGAGCGCAGATCGCAAACCAGTGTGGGGTCGCGGTCGAGGCCTTGGGCGTGGTGACAGAGGAAGTGAATGAATTGATCAAGGAAGTCGTTGAGGCCCATTTTGCCAAGAAGGCAGGAGCGCCGCCAGTGTCTGGGGATGCAGGGCTTGGGGAGGAGGTGGACAAGCCGCGAAGAGCTTACCTTGTGACCTTCGCTGACACACAGAGGGAGACAAGCTCTGACGGGCGCAAGTTGGTGGCCCCCGGCGCGTACTCACGCTGCGAAGTCCGAGGCTTCATCCAGGGAGCCGTGACAGCGACGCAGTCCAACAGGACACAGCCGCTGGGCTTGACTTACATGTCCGTGTTCCAGGAACGACACGCTTCTGGCCGCATCCACTACCACGCGGCTCTGTTGGGCGACAAGTGCTTTCGCTTCCTCACAGTGAAGCGACATTTGCTCCAAGCGCATGGCTTGGCTTCTCACTGGTCGGGGAAAAGCGATGGGTAGGCTGGATGCGTGGCTTATAAGGCAGTTGAGCAGCTAGACCCAGCCCCAGAGGTGTGGCCTGCGACGCACCCGCCTTTGTCTGAAGCCAGCCGTGCACCGTGCAACGCCAAAGCCATGGAGGAGTTTCGGGAAGGCCAGCGTCGCCGCCGTGCGCAGGACAGGAGCGAGGCACGCTGGCGCGAGGTGGACTTGTGGCCTATTGTCGTCCGGGAGAATATCGCGCCTGATGAGATTTGCGGGGAGAAGCTCATGGCCTATGCCAAGCGCTGCGGAGGGCACGCCATGGTTGAGTATTGTTTTGCAAATTGGGACAAGTTGCCTGGCGTCGTTGCCAAGTCTTGGCAAGTTGAGAAAGTTGAAACTTTCGTGGAAACGGCGCAGAAAAGCCGCTTGGGGCTCTTGCAGGAAGCCTTGCAGCAGGACTGCGTGTGTCAAGGGCAATGGGGCTCCTTTGCCAACACCATCTTGTCGCAGAACGGCCACGATGTTGCTGAGTGGCGCCAAGCCATGACAAATTCTTTGGCGGCCGCGAAAAGGGTAACGTGGTCTGCCACGCTGGCTTTGAAGGCAACGAGGGAAAGTCCTTTCTCCTGCGGCCGCTCCCGCAAATCTATGGAGAAGCGGGCGTCTTTGTGACGCCGCCAAAGAGTGCTTTCCCCCTGCTGGGTCTAGAGAAGGCTCGTGCCGTTTGGCTTGATGACTGGCGCTTCAATGAAGACCTTGTGTCATGGGGGGTTCAACTCCTTTGGTTCGAAGGTGCCAGTTTCATCATCGGCAGGCCGCAGAACATGTACTCGGGGCACTTGCGGTACGCCAAAGATGACCCCATCTTCGTGACAACGCTGCAGACAGACTTGATTTCGTTGAAGGGGAAGCTCAAGCAAGGCGACCTGGAGATGATGCTCAAGAGGCTGAAGGTGTACGAGTTCAAGCACAAGGTCTCCATTCCCGGCCATGTCGCGAAGGGCTGTGGCTGCTGCTTTGCACGCTTCCTTTTGGAAGGGCCGGGGGCAA